TAGTAGTACTAGTAGTACTAGTAGTACTAGTAGTACTAGTAGTACTAGTAGTACTAGTCGTAGTAGTAGTAGTAGTAGTAGTGGTAGTAGTAGTCGTCGTCGTCGTAGTAGTAGCAGTAGTAGTACTACTACAACTACTACTGATACTGCTGCTGCTAGTAGTAGTAGTACTACTACTACTACTACTACTACTACTACTACTACGACGACTGCGACTAAGCGACAACGACGACGACTACTACTACTGCTGCGGGAAGCTGCTACAAGTGTGCCAAGTGGATGACCAAACTACTGCTGGTACTGTCGCTGCTGCCACTGCTACTGCTAGGGATGAGCCATGTCAGGTCCGGATCCGGCGGGCCGAAGGACTGGGCACGTGAAGCCGTGGCGGAGGGCTTGGGGATGTTTGCGGTTTGGAGGGTGGCTCATGGTGCTTGCCAGGTGCGAAGATGGTGCTAGATTGAGCAGGTTCTGGAAAGTCTGGGTTTTCGAGATTTACTTCAGATCCCACCTCGCGAAGGACTTCTACCGAGCGACTGGAAAAAGCATGGGAAGCGAAATGTTTACGCTTTGGTTCGCTGCTGGCCCAAGCCACCGACGTCCCAAAGGCTTCTTGGATTCTTCTTCTACGCCTGGTTCACTCGAACATTTGGCACATCAAGCGCGAGACAGGGCATATTTCACCATGTAGGAAACTTGTTCCTGTCGTGTGATGTGTCATTTCTCAGTGCAAAGCCTGGGATTGATCCCAGATGAAGCTGTCTGTCTGCTACGGTGTACGCAACATGTTTGCGGGCTTGTGCGTGTGCCTACCACGTACCGAATTCCTACATTTGGTGCCTAGCAGTTCTACTTAGTTTGCATCTTTCCCGTGAAGTACCATGAGCTGACGCTTTCTTCCCGGCCTCAAGAGCAGCCCTGACGCTGATGCGCAGGCACAGGCTGTGCGTGCTTTCAGCTGATCTGTCAGATGCATGCTACACGAATGCCTGAAGCCCAGGCTCGGACAAGACTTCGATGTAACGTACTACTCTCGGATTGCGAAGCTTGCTCAGCAAGGAGTGTACATAAAGGAACTTACATGCCAAGAAAGCCGATTGATTGCTCAATTCACTCGTGTAAAGACAGTTTGTCAATCCAAGGGATGCCACCCTGGACCCTGTCTGGGATGAGACTTTCGAGTTTGACTTCGACTGGCCGTGCGACTGGAGACCACAAAAGGATCCGCCACCAGCCCGTATGAGTTGCTCGACCTAAACCTTGGGGAGGGGTTGTTATGGCACGTGTTCTGAGCCAGGAGGTGCGGCATGGAACAGCAGCTGCTAAGCCATGCGATGAATGAGTATAGTTATGGATAGAAGTTCAAATATATACATACGTACATACATACATGCATGCATACATGCATATATATTTATACGTGTGTATACATGACATAGGTATATTTATGAACATAAGTTTACCTAAAGAAGTATACAAACACACAGCTATACACGTATATGTAGATGTATATGTATATTTGTTTCTATGTATGCATGTATGTATGTATGTACGTATGTACGTATGTCTATATATGTATATATACAGACAGAACATTTAATATGTACCCATGCTTCCTACATCATGCATACACACATACAGACACACATTTTACATACATACATACATACATACATACATACATACATACATACATACATACATCTACATTACATCTACATCTACATCTACATCTACATCTACATCTACATCTACATATACATATACATATACATATGCATATACATATATGTGTACACACACACACACACACATATATATATATATATATATACACCCATATATATATATATACACCCATATATATATATATATTTATATGTATATATAGATATGTACAATCCATCTTTAAAGCAGTAGGCGGCGCGCTATGACGGAGACTTGGGAGCGATCGTGCGGGAAAGGATCAGCAGCCGGGGGCAATCAGTAAGTCGTTTGCGGTTCGCTCTGCCCTGAATCTCAGGCACACGCTTCCAAGATTCGCCGGCTTTGAGGATCTTGCATCGATGTGACTGTATGTGTTGGGCAATGTGGTTCATTTAAGTTATCAAGCTCCTGTCACATGATGTTTCTCGGCTGCGTAGGAGAGCAAACTCGACAATCAGTGGGGCATCACCGACACCATCGACATATGTTGCCAGAACCAACACCGTCACCATTGCTGAGGCATCCTTCCTGCATGGGTCGGAGAGCAGAGCAAGGAGCACAGAGATCTGAGCAGAGGAATCTCTGACATTGTGACCAGGAGACGCAGGATTTGCGCGAAGAACGTCCAGCCGTGTGGCAGGTCGTGGAGAAGCAGGCAGCAGAGCTGAGGCAATTGCGGCAGGAGGTGCCCTACGGTTGACAGCCAGCCGGTAAATGGTAAGAAGAAATCAACAGTATATGCAGCCATTTGCAGCCTGTTGGCAGGTTGGTACTTTGTCACGAGCCATGGGCGATCTTCTTCCGCTTCTGCAAGGAATATCTGGTCAGCAGGACGTCGGCGGCAGCATCGCTGCTGCCGATTTGCGGGACGGTGGCACCGGCAACTCGGCGATGCCTCAGGTGTTGCAGCATGGTTTTCCTGCAGCTTCTGAAAGTTCTATCATCATTCCGGATTGGCTGTTGGAGCTACAGACCAGGCTCAAGGCCAGCATCAAGGACGTCGTCGCGACCGGGTTCCAGGTCAGGATCTATATGCGCGAGCCCGCCCCGTGCGGCATTCTTTGCGTGCCCAACCACTCCACTTGTTGCACCTCCAGTTCTGGACGAACGGACTGCGCCTCAGAGCTGCCACATTAAGCCTGAAATTGCAATACTCAAGGCATGAGTTGCTATGACTCATGCAAGTATGACGATGCTAGGAATCACAGCCGCCTTCTAGCAATATTGCGTGCAGCAAAGCTATTTTTCGTGCGGATTATGCCAGCTGCTGCGGCCATTGCTGCTGATGCTATCACTATGACCAATGACACTCATTATCTACCTGTTTTTGCCGCGATGCTAGTTGGCTTAGTGGCAGCGGCAGCAGAAGCAGGAGGAGGAGGCGGAGGAGGAGGAGGAGGAGGAGCAGCAGCAGCAGCAGGAGAGTGGGAGTAGGAGCAGCGGCAGCAGCAGGAGGAGGAGGAGGAGTAGTAGTAGTAGTAGGAGTAGGAGTAGGAGTAGGAGTAGGAGTAGGAGTAGGAGTAGGAGTAGGAGTAGGAGTAGTAGGAGGAGGAGGAGGAGTAGTAG